TGTTGCCAATAACCATTATGGATTGTGCCCAGCTAGACTTCAGTAACATCAGGTAAAGTAATATCAGTAATAAAGTAATATCCCTTTCCACAAGTATTTTGTCCACTGAGGGTCTGGTTAGGTTGAAAGTAGGCAGATCTAGTTTCAAAGGACTCCCAAGGATGACCCCAATATAGTAGAGAACCTGATGGTGAAAAAAATGCAGCTTGAGACCAGGTAAACTAAACTATACCAGTACAGTGAGAGTAGTACAGTGAGAGTTTCATGATTTAGTGAGAGTTTCATGATTTTTGTCGAACTTAGGAGACCACTTGAGTAACTTCATTGATTTGTATTCGATATTAAAATATTTCTTGGAGAAAATTTTGGTGTAGTCTTCAGCCACTGTTAGTTGGATCATGTTAGTTGGATCAACTGTTAGTTGGATCAACACATGTTTCCTATCCTTGAGTCCCACTTTTCACTTGCCTACTAGCTTAAGATCATCAACACTCGTTCTGATAACATCAATAGGAGGGTGTCCTCACAAAAATTTTCCAATAAGAGTAAACTTGAATTTTTCCATCATGGTAGAAATTTCTGATTCAAAGAAAAAGATTGCTGCTTTTCCACCTTTCCTACTTCCCTTCTTAATAAAAGGACAATCATGTACTCTCACGAGATTCCTTATAACTGATTTCTTATAACTTGAGGGGAAACCCACTGCGGACTCCACCTGAGGGTTACCCATCATGTGGACAAATGAAACTTTGTCCGGTTCAAACCAGAAGGAGGCGCCATCAGAGCAAGGAGAGCTGTCGGATTAAGCTACAACTTGTTGTGGCAGGAAAAATAATGAACCTCTGTCACAGACGCAGCACGACGCGACGAGCGCGAGTGTCGAGGAGACGCGAACGCGTCATCGTCGAGACGCAGACGAGCGCCGACGAGCGCGAGCCGACGAAGGAGAAAGGAGCGGAAGCTTCGAGCGACAAAATCAATGGCGATCGCCATTGTGTGTGTGTGTGTGTGTGTGTGTGTGTGTGTGAAAATATCTTTGCTGTACGTAGTAGTCTCTGGACTTTGAAGATATAATTCTCTATAAACTCAATAGTCTTCCCTCCAATTACCATGCATTCATGGCATCTATTAAGAACAATCTTCAACCTCTGATTCTAGATGATCTTTATGCAATACTATAATGAAGAGCTCAATCAACCTCTAAAGAAATGCAACAGTCGAACCATCTTGCATTCAGATCTCCTCTGGTTCTCATATCAGCACCAAAAATTAATCACAACTCCCTAAAATTCTCTACCATCACTATCAGATACGCAACATATCAGTTCATTATGCATCAAGTGGTATCACTGACATGATAGAACATATCAGCCACCTATAGCCTTGATCACTAAATCAACATGAGTACCAATACCAATTGGTACTTTGATAGTGATGCTACTGAGCACCTAGCAACAAATTCCAACTAGCTTACAAACACTCAATGCTACGAAGGAGATAGCTCAATCGCTATACGAAATGGTCAACAACGTCGTCCCATTGCTCATACCGCTCAAGGCTTAGCTCCTACTCCCATGTTTAATCTAATTCTTTCAATATTCTTCATGTTCCCAATGTTAAATACAATTTGCTTTCATTAAACTTACCGCTAATAATACTTGCTTGGTTACTTTTACTGCTAATGGTTACTCCATCAAGGATGTAGACCAATAGAGTTCTACTTGAAGAACCCTGTGTGTAGGGTCTTTATCCGATCAAGTGTAATAAGGATTTTGGATCTATATCAAGCTCTTTGGCTCTCATATCCATTCGACAAGTCTCCAATTTATGCCAGAAAACTTAAACACCGCTTTTTTAAAGTTCTGGAAATCATAGCTCAATGTAATCCTACTTTAATTTTCACCAAAGGTCATCAATCTACTTGTAATTCTTGTAGTCTTTCCAAGAATCATAAACTACTTTTTAGCACTTCCAACCCTCATGTTTCTCATCCTCTAGAAATAATATATTCAGATGTATGGGCGCCTTTCTCCATTCCTTCTAAACAATTTTATAAATACTATGTAGTTTTTGTGGATGATTTTTTCGTTGTTCATGTGTTTATCTTATTCGGAACAAAAATAAAACAGTTGAGAAATTTAATTACCGAATTCAAACATTTAGTGGAAAATAAGTTTAACACACACATAAAGACTCTCCATACCGATGGATGTGGTGAATATCCCAATTCTCATCTTACCTCCTTGGGGCATTCAACATCAATATATTTGTCCATATACCCCATAATAGAATGGGATTGCCGAAAGAAAGCAAATACATGTTATAGAAAAAGCTCAAATCCTTCTTAATGAGGCCTCTTTACCTTTCCATTTATGGGTTGACACACATCTCATAGCTCGCTACCTGATCAATAGAAAACCATCCATAGTAACGTACTCCAAATCTCCCTATGAAGTGTTACATGGCAAATCACCAACTATAATCACCTCAAAGTGATTGGTTAACAGTGTTATCCCTGGCTCAGACTATTTTCTAAACATAAATTATTACATCTTTCCTATACCTTTCTAAAAATGATATAAATACCATAATAATCAAACTAACAAATTTTACATATCAAGACATATCTTGTTCAACAAGGCTATCTTTCTTTTTCAACAATCACCAAATTCTTGAATTCATAACACCTCTTACTCCATATCCTTACCTTCACTTTTACTTTTTCCTAACCCCTCTCTACAGCTCACTTAATACACATTAAATCCTTCAATCAACTCTGTCACCATCCCACCAACTTTCAAGACAAAAACTTTAAACATCAATTCTCCTTCAACAACGGCTTCCACACCCTTACCTTACTCTTCTAAAAACCCAGCTATTACAACCAATCGAGAACCTGATCTATTACCCTCAGATCCTACTCAAGCTCATCAGATGATTACTCGCAAGCAAACATGTAATCTAAAACTAAAATAGATTATGAATCTCATGCATCAATATTATCAACTTAAACAATCATGCTACTCTACCATGATTAAATACGCACATTGACAACAAGCTATGCCAGAGAATTTTTATGCATTTCATTCTCAAGGAACTTGGGGTTTAGTTTCACCACCATCAAATTAGAATGTCCTCAATTACAAATGGACATTCAAAATAAAGTATAAAAACACATGGATTGCTGGCCAGAAACAAAGCCAGACCGGTAGTGCAAGGATTCAAGTAACATCATGGGATTGACTATATCGAAACCTTCAACCCAGTGGCCAAAATGTCCAGTATTTGGGTTTTTCTCACTGTCACCTTACCTTTAATTGGAACATCATATAAATTAGATGTTTCAAATACTCTATTGCATTAACGCCTAACTGAAACTGTATATATGGAGCAAACATATGGTTTTTAAGATCATATTGATCCAAATTAGGCATTTCATTTAAAGAAAGTAATTTATGGTTTAATCAGGAACCAAAATAGTGATTTATTACTCTCATAGGATATTTACAACAATAAAATTTTAGTTCTGGCACAAGTGACTTCTATCATTTCTGCTAAATCACTGAAACCTCACACATTTACATTTTTATCCATGTTGATGAAATTTAATTAATAGGAAATGGTAAAAAACTCATCCACATCATTTTACAGAAACTTCATATATAATTTAAGATGAAAATTTTGGGTACTATATCACAATTTCTAGACATTTCTACAACTCCAATCAAACATGGACTACATTTAATTCAGACATTATACGTTCAGCAAATACTTATAAACTCATGAATGCTCAACTCCAAACTTATTCACAATCATATAATTCAGAGAAGTTCCAACAAAACTGATCAAAGTCTCTTCAGGATCCTTCTTTTTATTGCAAAATTGTAGGATCACTGCAGTAACTCACTCATACGAGGCCGAACATCTCTTATGTAATCAATCAAGTCAATCAATCCATGCATCAACGTACTCGACATAATTTTCAACAATTAAAACATATTCTATGATATGTTCAAAACAAAAAAAAAAAAAAAAAAAAAATTTTGGGTTTTAATTTTCCTTTGGAAATTTTATATCCATTGGAAATCTTTAAATTACAGTGTATGTTGACTCTGACTAGGTTGGTGACTCTATTGATTGTAAATCTACTAGTGAATATTGCATTTCTTGTATCAAAGCTCATATTATGGGCTGTAAAAAGCAAACTATTGTGGCTCACTCCTCTACTGAAGCAGAATATCATGCACTCGCTATATCTGCTACTGAAATAGTGTGGATTTGACATTTATTACAAGACTTACAAATCTATCACTTTTAACCAACCAATTTATACTGTGATAACAGCAGACACTCTATTGTAGCTCTGGAAAATAACCCCAATTTCCATGCATAAACTCAACATATTGAAATAGTTTGCCACTATATCAGACAATTCATCAACAAGCAAATCAAAGTACAACATATCACCACTATGGATCCGTCCATTGATTTATTCACAAAATCTGCACTAATGCTTGTTTCAAGTATATTCATTCCAAACTCACAATCTCAACTCTTGATTGTCAGTTTGAGGGGAGATATTAATTATCCTATTACACAAAATTTAAGAAAATATCATAAGAAACGATTTCCTCTTGTTATCTGCTGTAACTGATTTCGGTTGGCTTTATTGTTCTTAATAGCTATTACTTAATATAAAGAGCAATGTATAATTGGTTGTTGTATGATTGAATAAAAATCATTGTCATTTTCTATATTCTCCACTTTTCTTCTCTATTTTCCTCTTTTTTTACTTCTTTTCTCTTGTGTGCATGCATAGTCAATTACATTAAAGAAATCTTTTAATTTCTTGAAGATATGATTGAGATGTTAGAGCTATGATTAGAAAAAGATTTTGCAATACATCTTATAATTAGTTTTATTTCTACAAAACCCATACATGATCATTTTCACATGATTATATATTTTAATCACTCATTCTCCCACCATCCAATACCCAGGTAGGCCTCATCTTTTGAATAACATGCTCATGTTTGGAGAAGACTTGGTGGCGTGCAACGCTCTTTTAAGCTGTTGAAAATATTTTAATATTGCAACAATTGGTTAACAACAAAGGATAAATCTTGCCTTATTGTAGTCAGATATTGAAGAGAGCCATCCAAATGCTTATATAGTTTAGGATTATCACATAGTTATTGATGTTCTGGCAAGATTTTAGTGGTAGAGGACAGATGATTAGAAAGAGTTTTACATTAACTCATACCTACTCTTTTTAATATATCCTATGCATAGTGTTTTTGATATAAAATGCCATCTTTAGTAAGGTGAATATTTTTACCCAAAAATGTTGAAACTGTTCCAAGGTTTTTCATTGTAACTTGCTTTGAAGATCTTGGATGAGCTGTTGTATGAATAACATGTTATGTTAACAAAATATCATCTACTTATAATAATAAGTATGTGACAACTGAATTTCGCAGATAGAATAGCAATGACGGCTCAACTTTACTGTATTTAAAGCCATAACTGAGAAGATATTGAGTGAACATATTAAATCATTGTTGAGGTGTATGTTTGATACCATAAATTATTTTTTCGAGTAAATAGCATGATGCTTCAGTTGATTGTGCATGTATCCTAGTGGTTATTTCATGCATATCATTTCATTTAGAGTGCCTTATAAGAAGGCATTCGACGTATCTAATTGACTTATTTTCCATTTATAATGAAGTGCTGAATTGCAACACAAAGCAAAATTTTGATTGTTGGAAGTTTGGCAACATGACCAATGTTTCCTTATAAGGAAGAACATATTCTTACTGAAAAACTTAGGCCACTAATCTTGTTTTATTCTTGGCTATGGTGCCTTTCAAGTATCTTTTGATTTTACTTAAAAACCACCATTTGTGATGTCAAAGTGATTGATGGCGGTCAATAGTGGTCAATGGCGATCAATGACGATCGACGGTGATATGAGTGGTGCTGGACTTCAGCTCATTCTCAAAGCTTCAAGTTTTTTCTCAAGTCTCAAACCATCTCCCTCATAAGAGGGGTGAGACTCTATTTATAGTATTCTGAGTGCAATTAATGCTGGAATATGAATCACTTTGATTGGACGACTCATAGAGCTTCCTTTGATCAGATGACGTTTGATGAATATTTGAGTACCTTAATGATGTCGGAATTGAGCAATCTTGGGCTCTTTCGATTCGTCTTGTCAAGATTCAACATTCGTTTACCTTCTAAATATGTTCGAAAAATTTGCAAGAATGATTTAATGACTTGAACTGAGCTTGATTTTAGACTTATATTTGACTAATTTTGATATCATTAGGTCCGTCTCATTGAGCCGATCAATTTGACTATAAGTTTGTTGAAAACAGAGTTCCAAGTGACTTTTTTTATGAAGCTTTGAATATTTTTTGCTCAAAAAATTTTCTCGAGATCTGTGTCATGCCTTGAGATTCATGACGAATGATGACAATTGTTGATGACATATCAGTCGCCCCCCATTTTCGGGTGATACCATATTCATCAAATTTGGAGCATTTTATATTTTTATCATAAATTTATATATTTATATAACTTTACTTCTGAATAGAATAAAAGTTAACGTGCGTATGTTAAAAAATCATCCTGAGTTTATTAGTTAGCATGTTCTGCTTCTCGAGGCTGAGGATCGATCCAAGATAATGCACATTATACAAATTTTCTTTGATTTTTGGTCAGTAAATATACAAATTTTGGTGATATAAACATATAAGACTTATGGGTATATTGGTATATTTTTGGCAAATTCACACACACACACACATATGAATTATATGTAAATATGGGAATTTATCAGAATTTATTTAAAAACATTAACATGAGAATTTAAAAGGTTATGTGAATTTGAAAAGGATGCATATAATTCATGTTAATGAAAATTATTAAATTTCGGAATTTGAAAATGTTGCATAAATTAAATAATTTGATATCTTTTTATTTATTTATTTTTTTGGGTAGGCAGACGAAAAGTAGAAAACTTTTTGGGAATATAAAAAATTTATATTCATATAAATTTTAAAAGAAGAAATTTATGAATATCAAATTCTAATGTGTTTTTTTTTTTTTTTTTAAATGAGGGAACCAGAAGGCCTAAATCTAGAAGCCTTCTGTTTTTCTTAAAATGAATATATATTTTAATTTGAAAGATATAAAATGAATATATATTTTAATTTTTCTTAAACAGTTGTCCCCTTTCCTTGAGAGAAATTGGAAGACTCAAAGGTGTGAATATGGAAAGATTTTCAGTTTTTTTTATTTGAAATGAGAAAGCCGGAAGACCATTATGCTTAAGCCTAAAAGACAAAATGAATGCAGATTAATTTTTTTTAATAATTGCTTTTAATACTAGAGATCTTCTTAAGCCTATAAAAAAAACAATAGATGAGGGGAAGAATCACAAGTGAGGAGACAGAGAATGATAAAAAGAGGAAGGGTGGAGAGTGCAGCCTTCTGCTAACGAGATTTTTTATAAGAAGAAAGTTATCCCTGTCTCACGTACCAGACGAGCAATAAGATCTTCTTTTGTGTTGAGACCGAGAGGAAAGTTGTCCCCGTCCTGCATAACAGACGAGCAACAAGATCTTTTTTCTTGTTGCAGCCAAGAAAAAATTTGTCTCTGCCCTGCATAGCGGACGGGCAACGAGATATTCTTTCATGTTATGACCAAGAGAAAAATCGTCTCCGTCCTGCGTAGCAGGCGAGCAACTGGATCTTTTTTAGTGTTGCGACCAAGAAGAAAGTTATCTGTCTTGCGTAGCAGGTGAACAACTTGACCTTCTTGCTTGTTGCTGCTGCGCGTTTCAGTGGAGATGAAGAAATAGCAAAGTTTTCCCACGACTCTTTAAGAGGGAGATTTTCATGTTTCTGTAGCGACGATATCTCTTGTAGCCATTGTACTAGTTCTTGTTGGTCTTTATAGCCTTTTTAATCATAATCATTTGATGTGACATTTTGATGTGACATTTCTATATGATGATAATATATTTTTTTGTACATCTTTGACATTTCTTTTGAGGTTGCTGTGGCTTCTCAATCATACGAAATTTTGTAATTAAAATTAACACACACATTATAAAATGGAGAACCACATACCTTTTGAGGCTCGTTCCTTCTGAGATAGTGCTCGCTTTTTCTTATGTCGTATAGAAGCTTGAAATGAATTGGTATCTTATGTGGCTCACAGCCTTCTAAGATCTTTTATGTATATGTGTCTTCTGAGGTCTTTGATGTATTTATGCCTTCTGAGGCTTGTAGCCTTTTCAGGTCTTTGGATGTACCTGTGCCTTCTGAGGCTTGTAGCTTCTGAGGTCTTTCAGTGGAGACCCTATCAACCACTTGTTCTTTTGGAGTCTTTCTAGTGAGGATCTTGTCCACTACTAGCTTCCCATCAAAACTTGTTTCTCAGGCTCGTCTTCCAGGGCCATGGTTGAAGGGAAAATCCATTAAGGATTTATGACCAGTTATGAGTTGTATAACTGGTGATGCTCGATGGTATTAACCCATAACAAACAAAGTCATATAAAATCCACCAAGGATGGTTAACCTATCCTAGTTTGTTGGTCGAAACTTTTGTTTGACGACCATAAATTGTTATGGAAGAGGTCGAAGAAAATCCACCGAGGATTTTTGACATATCTGAGGTTGTATGTCAAAGCTTTTCCCTGATGACGACAACCTGTAATGAAAGAGGTCAAATCGAGTGCCCCTGGGATCGATTAAACCTAGAATGAGGTGTCAGCGATGCTCTGCGATTCTTGAGACTAGGGCATAGGCCTTAATTAACCATATGTTTTCGTGGAAATATTGTTGCAGTCATACTAAAAAATAATGTTTGACAACTCGCTAGTTGCTACATTTGAATCTTTTAGCGAGGGCTTTTTTCATCCGAGCTTGTAAAAAACACGTGTATCGAGCCTTGAAGAGATCAATTTCTTAATCTATTTGAAGAACTTTAGTACAGTGATGGAGCAACGAGGAAGCGTTATTTGGGACGAAGATTGCCCTCTATCTAGGAGCGATTTTTTGTGATGGAGCAACGAGGAAGCGTTATTTAGGACGAAGATTGCCCTCTATCTAGGAGCGATTTTTTAAGCCATATTGTCTGAACGAAATGCGTGATGACTATCCTATCACTGTCGTGCCCGGGACGTCAACGTGAATGACCTTTCGAGATTACAGTGAAGGTTGCCTCCATCCTAGAAGAAGTTGTAAAAGACTTTGTGTATGAATAAGATGTGAGAAAACAACCAAGATACAATCATGCCCAGGGCGTAAACATCAATGGCATTTCGGAACAGCAGTGAAAGTTGCACCTTACATTGAAGAATGTTTTGTAGATGATCTTCAAAATGTACAGAAAGTTCCTTCGCCAGTTGCATGATGCACATTAATGGGAAATATAGTAGGGGCTCGGTGTCTTAGAGTTCAAGACATTGTCGAACATGACTTCACTTCCCACAGACGATATCAAACTAATGCGTGCTAGAAAATTAAATGCGGTAAAGTAATGAATTATTGTCTTAGCATTGCACGGGATTTCACAAACTCAGATAAAAGAAAACAACAAGTAGCAACACCAAAAATTTTTACGTGGAAAACCCGTAAAAGAGAAGAATCACAAGACCTGATTTAATTGTAAAAATTCACTATAAGTTAATGATTTTAGAGACCTCTTATCCCACAGAAAAGAAAGAATTACAAAGCCTTCCAAATTACAACGTCGACGTGCGAGTGAACTTGTTGTAAGAAGTGGGCGGTAGCCGATGACGATCGGTGGAGGCCAGTAGGTGGTGGTCGACGATAGCTGACAGTGGTCAATAGTGGTCAGTGATGATCATTGGCGGTCAACGGTTGTCAATGGAAATCGGTGACGATCGACGGTGGCAGAAGTGGTGCAGGACTTAAGCTCCTTCTCAAAGCTTTAAGTTCTCTCTCGAGCCTCAAGCTCTCCTCCCCCTCATGAAAGTGCCAAGACTATTTATAGTATTATGGGTGCAATTAATGCAGGAATATGCGTCACTTTGATCGGACAGTCCGGAGAGTTTTCTTCAATCAGGCTGTGTTTGATGGACATTTGAGTGTCTGAATGATGTCAAAATTGAGCAATCTTGGGCTTGCTGAAATCTTCTTGTCGAGACGTTTGATTCAACTATAAGCTTGCTAGATTCCACATTCGTTTGACTTTCTAAGCATGTCCGGAAAACTTCCAATAATGGTTTAATGTTTGATCTAAGCTTGATTTGATAAGGATTGGACTAATTTTGATATCATTCGGTCTGACTCATCAAGCTAGTCAGTTTGACTATAAGTTTACTGAAATCAGAACTCCATATGACTTTTTATCAAAAAATCGAATATTTTTGTCTCAAAAGAATATCTCAAGGTCCGTGTCATGTCTTGAAATTGATGTCGGATGATGAGAATTTGTTAATGACGTATTGGCGTACATTGCGGGCTTGGTATATATTTTAATCACTCATTCTCTCACACCATCCGATGCCATGTTGCGAATGCCATGTTGCATCCCATCTTTTGAATAACATGCTCATAGTTGGAGAAAACTTGGTGGTCTTCATAAGCAAGGCAGGAAGAGGACTGCACACTAGCTATGTATATACTACTGAAAAAGCAAATGAAAAAAGCTATAAATTCAGCCTATTTGGCTTCACAGTGACAATTTGGTCCATTTGAATTGACTGGTTTTCATATTTGGCAAAATGATTTGAATTGAAAAAATCAAAACAATCAAAATTTAGATGAAATTGAATCAACTGAACCAAAATTTCAATTGAAACGGTTCAGTTATGAACAAACCAAAATTTTCATGAATACTTAATTTAAGTTTGAATTTTTAATTTTTTTTTTAATTTTTTCAGTTAACTAAAAATTAAAATTGAACCAATAATAATAAGTTGAATATTGAGATTTTAAAAATAAAAAAATGAAAATGCATTTTCGAATCGGAATCGAAGGAACCAAATTATTTGATTCAAGTCTATTTTTTGATTTGATCGAAGGCGTACATATTCTTTATTATTTTTATAATCTATAGATAATCCTAAAATAGACAACATTTTATAATTTTTTTAATTAATATTTAAAAAATCGATAAAATTATAGTCACACATGGTGAATTGATAAGGCTCCATTTTGGGTAGCTTATCCGCTGCGGCGGCTTTTTGAAAAGAAATTGCATTTGATTAGTTTATCCGGAAGCTCAGTTGGCTTTTTACACTAAACGTTAAACAACCCGAGGTCCGCGTTTCTAGATAAACGACTTATCTGGATAAGCACAAGCGGCCCAAAACGCACACTAAAAGTCTTCACCCCAAAGTGCGACTTCTGCACGTGTTATCGCATAGAATTATGCGGGACTATGAATTTGTGGCTTTTGGAATTATTTTTAAATTAATTATTTGTAAACATTAAAATTTTAAAAATTTCTATTTTTTAATTAGAGCTTTTCATTGTAGTTCTTTTAAAAAAAAAAAAGAAAATAATCAAATTCGATAAAATTTATTATTTATTTAATATTTTAAGCACATTTTTTATTTAAAAAGTAATATTACTAAATCTAATATGTTATCTTAATTATAATTTAATTTTCCTTTTAATTTAGAGTATTCTGTGACATATGTGTGTTTTCATTTTAGTTCTTTTTTATAAGAAAATAAAATAATCAAATTCGATAAAATTTATTATTTATTTAATATTTTAAGCACATTTTTTATTTAAAAAGTAATATTACTAAATCTAATATGTTATCTTAATTATAATTTAATTTTCCTTTTAATTTAGAGTATTCTGTGACATATGTGTGTTTTCATTTTAGTTCTTTTTTATAAGAAAATAAAATAATCAAATTCGATAAAATTTATTATTTATTTAATATTTTAAGCACATTTTTTATTTAAAAAGTAATATTACTAAATCTAATATGTTATCTTAATTATAATTTAATTTTCCTTTTAATTTAGAGTATTCTGTGACATATGTGTGTTTATATATATATAAGATTTTCATTAATATTTAAATTTTCTATTTAATTTAAATTTTTTAATTTAAATTTAAATATAAATTTAAAAGACTCTTCATTTAAAATACTGATTAAAGTAAATAGAACAAGCCAAATGAACTAAATTTACAAAATCTTTTAAGATTAAAAAAGAAAACTATAACAAAGATAATATATTTAATTAATAAATATTAATTTAGAATTAGAAATGTGTTAATAATTGCAAATAAAAAAAATTAATCTAACAAACAAAATAATTATGTAAAAATCAAAATATATTTGATTTAGTTTGATGTAAGAAAAAGAACACACAAAAAAAAAAAATTTATAATAAAATTTTTAAAAATTTATTATAAAAAATGATTAATTTAAAAAATTTCTAAAATCAAATAATTCATCACTTCATATGACCCTAAATAGTGACTCACGAATAATATAATCTTTGGGACGACAACTTAGCCTTCTGTAGTCACATGTTACTATACAGAACAATAATTTTATTGATTTTGCAATTTTTTTTAATAGGACAATTTTTAAAATTAAATTTTTATAAAATTTTATTTTTAAATTTTGTCTCCCACAAAAACAAGAAGGAATGAATTACTCCTAATGCAATATTATAATAGATAGAGACCAAGTTATTTGTCATTTGAATCTTATAAAAGAGTTAAAGAAAGAATATGATAAAAGACTCTCTAATGCATTTTGTCATAAATGAGTCACATATATTATAACAACACCATGAAAAGGAGCAAGGTTTAACCTTTTTAAGTAACATCATCCAAAAGGTAGCTAGTTAGTAGCCTACTAGCCTATATCAAATCAAGCTAGTTCCCCCTCATAGAAAGCATAAGAATTTCAAAAAATAGAAGTAAAAGATGGGCAAGAATGTAAGAGAGGGATCAAAATTCCTAAGCACGATGATCGAGGTGAGAAGATAGTCTATTTAGCATTCACCCTTGAAACTAAACTGCTTCAAGGGGGAATAGGTTTCGTCATCTCCATTTTGCAACGACGAAAATTTACAGTTCTTGCGATATAATGTTCAGAGCCAAACAAAAATATTTCAAGCGATGATGACCAGGGCAACTGAACAGAAGTCGGTCGGATTCTCAAACGAGACCTTAATCACCCACACTCGCAACTCTCTCATGGTTCTCATTGTTGTTCCTATAATTGGAAAAAAAGAAGAAAGGAACGAGATTCTAAGAAAAACTTATATAAAACAAAAAACAATCTAATCATTGTTGCTATTATTTGCATTAATACAAATATATTATTTCTAGACAATACATATTTCTAGTAGTAGGCATTAACATAACAATCTTTCATCAGCAAACCTTCTATACAAGTTAGTAGAGAGATTTCTGTCTAAGGTCCGTTTGTGGTGGCTTATAAGTGTGGGTGGCGTTTTCAAAACGCCGTCGTACTGTTTGATTCGCGCGTTTCACCAGCTTATCCGAAACTACGTTTGAGTTTTTACACTAAGCGGTCGACCCGCGGGCCGCGTTTCAGGATAAACAGCTTATCTTGAAACGCACAAGCTGTCCCAAACGGACCCTAAATCTCTTCGCTGTCAAATTAGACAAACTCCACCATTAAAAAAACGAACTGACATAGGATAAACTAACTTACACAAAGAAGAACAGAAGAAATCCATCAAAACTAATCTCAAAAGTTCTAAAAAAAGGGATTTTTGAGGTCTTTGAAGCAGTGCAGATCAGAGCAAAATGTAACGTGAATGATTGTAAGATACCTGGAATCAGTGGAGTACTCGCAGAGCTTTCCCTTGTTTGAAAAAATGATGAGAGCGACATCTGCATCGCACAGCACCGAGATCTCGTGCGCCTTCTTCAGCAGCCCGGATCTTCGCTTAGAGAACGTGACTTGCTGATTTATTTTGTTCTCTATTCGCTTCAGCTGAACTCTTCCCCTCCCCATTCCACTCTCTCCCTCCACACTCAAACTTCTGTTCTGTTGCAGTTGGGTTTGGACCTGCGTTTAATAGGAGAAAATTCTATCTACGGAGCCGTGTGGACTTTTCAATAATATGTCGTCACGTGAAGGTTATTATGAGGTTATTGACGTGAAACAACGAATGTTATTTAGGGAGTTAATGCAGAGATTATTGAAATGAAACTGCAGTGGTTATTAAGAGTTGTTATTAGAGTGAAACCGCGAAGGTTATTAGAGGGTTATTGAAGGCTTATTGCGGCATTATTGAAGTTGATGCTGCAATAATTCATCAATAACCTCCTAATAACTCTTCCAAATAACCTCCGCGACCACTTTAATTTTTTAAAGTGGGTCTGATATAACACACATGATTGTAGGGCTGTCAATTTGGCTCGTTGTTCGTGA